TTTTTTTCTCCCCCATAGGAAACAATGGAGCTGTCAAAAGTTGGGCTCCATTGTTTCCAATGGGGGAGAAAAAAATTCACATAAAATTAACGAAAAGTCAGCAACTGTTTTAAATGCTTGGGTTCGTTAGAGCACCTTCTAAGCCGTGTGCAAACCTAGTCTGGCTTTGTTCTGAGTCTTCGTTAATTTTTGATGATTTCTTTCCTCCCCCATTGAAATGCATTGAGCCCAACTTTTGACAGCTGTCAAAGGTTGGTTTCAATGCTTTCCTATGGGGGAGAAAAAAATTCACCAAAAATTAACGAAAAGTCAGATCAAAGCCAAATTAAGTTTGCACACATTTTAGAATGGCACTAACAATTCCAAGCATTTAAAACGTTTTTGACCATTTTAAGACACTTTTAAAATTGAAAAATCAAACATCGTTAAGTGAAACAGGGGACCTAAAAATGCATTCGCTATGTGAAGCATGGTCCCAAAATCGCTAAGCGAAAATCGCCCATAGGAAACATCGTTAAATGATGCATAGAATTCTTTTTAAAAACCCATCATTAAGCGAAAACATCGCTAAACGAGGCAATCGTTAAGCAAGGTACCACTTTATTTATTTATTTATTTATTTATTTATTTATTTATTTATTTATTTATTTATTTATTTATTTATTTGACTTTCTCACTTTTCTCTCTCATTTCCTCCACTTTTTGTTTTAAAAAAAGGATTCGAATATACTCCACGGGAGAGATAAAACAGACATTGAGAGAACTGCTGCCCCTTACAATTTAAAATCGGCTTCTTCTCCAAGATGTTCAAACTTCATACCCTGTGGGGGCCACACAGAGCTGAAGAAGTATTACATATTTAATATCAAACCTTTTCCTTGGCCCTGCACCCTGGGCACTTCTGAAATGCTACTTTTCAGTTGGCCATTCTAGTTTCCTGATTTTGGGGACTTTTAACCCTAAAAGTACCTTTTCCACTTTCTGAGCACGGAACCCCCACCGCTAAATTCGGGGAGCCAGAGAGGCTTTCTAGAATGACTGATAACTACAGTCCCACCGTCTCAGCCAAATTACACGTTTACAGATCACTGATCGTTAGAAGAGGGAATGCCTTAAATTCTAAGAACAGGTGATTGCCACAGCAGAAGATTTCCATACCTCCTGTGATTAGCAAAGTACCTTGCTTTGTTTTGTGATTGGCCATTGATTGGGAGCAAAGCACAGGCTATGGAAGAAGATCGCTCCCTCATGAAGGTCTACCCACCTCTGAATCACACCACTGGAACACTAATGGATCTCAGTCTCTAATGACGGGCTGTCTGTAACTTACTGTTTAGCTCCCCATTTAAAGCCAAAACCTGCATGATTTTCTGAGCAACACTGCCTTCACTCGGAATTGACTTACTCAGATGACTCCCACCCCCTTCATATGGCTTACCTTTTTACGGTGAAACTTCTGTTTCTCCCTGAAATCTTCCATTTTTCTCGCTTCTTCCCGCAGTGTCTGGGCCAACTGGATATGGCTCTGACCGACACTGTCCACCTCTGGAAACCAGAAATGTCACAGCAAAGAATCAATGGAAGTACCCTTAAATTACTACCACTGTCCTCTTAAGTGCAAAAAAAAAAGTTGGTTGCTGGGGTGTGTGTTTGTGCATGCAGGTGCATCTGAACGTTCAAATGATAAAATGTATTTTACTGTGTTTTGATATCTTTTCTTTGGGGGGGCCCTATGGCTCTTCCTCCCCTCTTCCGCCAAAAAAAGTTGCAACAACGGAAAAGTCGGGGGAATTATAATTCCCAGCGGGATTTGCTGGATTCTGGATTTACAGTCCCTGAAAGTAACTTTTGGAAGCCCTTCCTGCAGAAAAATGTCACAAAACAGGGGCTGGATGAAGGATTTCTTTGGAAATCAGGGTTATTATTTGTTTTAAAAAATTATAGAATATTTGCTTGCCAAAAAAATCATTGGGGGGGTTAAGGGCTGACCAACTGAAGCATAATCCAGATTAGATGGTAGCAATGTAGGTTGGTTTGAATTGTGGTGCTGGAGGAGACTCTTGAGAGTCCCCTGGACTGCAAGGAAAACAAACCTATCAATTCTAAAGGAAATCAACCCTGAGTGCTCACTGGAAGGACAGATCCTGAAGCTGAAGCTCCAATACTTTGGCCATCTCATGAGAAGAGAAGACTTCCTGGAAAAGACCCTGATGTTGGGAAAGTGTGAAAGCAAGAGGAGAAGGGGACAACAGAGGATGAGATGGTTGGACAGTGTCTTCGAAGCAACCAACATGAATTTGATACAACTCCGGGAGGCAGTGGAAGATAGGAGGGCCTGGCATGCTGTAGTCCATGGGGTCACAAAGAGTCGGACATGACTAAATAACTAAACAACAATGTTGGTTGGAAAATGTGCAATTCTGATGCAAGTTTAGCTCTGGATGGGGCTACTCTGAGTGGCAATATATGTCATTGGAGGGAGGGGGTCCCGGAAAACTTGTGCTGTCTATGAGGATGATGCTGTCATTGGAGGGAGGGGGTCCCGGAAAACGTGTGCTGTCTATGAGGATGATGCGTCATCAAGTCAATTCTGATTTACTGCGACCCTGCCATCAAGTCAATTCTGATTTACTGCAACCCTTTTCAGGGTTTCCAGGCAAAGAATACTCAGAAGCGGTTTCCCCTTCCAGGGTGGCCCTGAGACCAGAGAATACTCAGAAGTGGTTTCCCCTTCCGGTGTGGCCCTGGGACCGTGCAGCTTGCCCAAGGCGACACAGGCCAGCTCTTTGGAGAGGCACAAATGGGAGATTTAATTCCCACCCAGAGACGTAAACCACTGAGCTATCCAGCCACCTTGTGCTGTGTATGGAGGCATGGAGGTCTGCAGTGGTTTAGAAAAAGAACTTGCTTCGCCTCTGTCCAGAATCCTGCATTTCCCAACCACGTTGATCCAAACAGGGAGACACTGTTTCGTAGTGGTACATAAATTGTGCTAACGAACTACAACATAGCTTTGCCACATCCGTGCAAATCAGAGGAGCTCCTACAGATGCTGTTTGATAAAGGTGTTTGCGGCATTCATTCTCCGAAGCCAGTTTTAATGGTTTGCTCAGGTTCGGTGACTCTGGCTTTGTCTAGAGAATGAGATCCTCCTAACCCCAAGATTCTACATTGATTACTGTAACGGGCTCTACATGGGGCTGGCCTTGAAGATTGTTTGGACAGTGGCAACTGGTCCAGAGTGCAGCAGCTAGAATACCTACGAGTGGGAGCTCAACATCCACGCTATAATGCGCTTAAGCTGTATAGTTTATATGGATTGCAATTTTAGCTCCAGATTCTGGTCAAAGTGCTTTTAAGCCCCAAGTGTCTTGAGACCACAGAGTCCTAAGCATCTACCCCTCTCGCCCCCCTGCAAGAACAGTTAGACCGATGAGAACCGGCTTTCTCACCGGTGGTCCTACTTCTGTGAAACTCCCTCAGGAACAAGAGAGAGCATGGCTTCATCACAACTATCTTTTTAAAAAAAAGATTGTGAAGACCCATGCATTCCAGACTCGTGTATTTACTGAGCACGAGAACACTGGCTGGAATCCATACAAGTAGGAACCTCATGGCACGGTGGTTAAACTGCAGTACTGCCGTCAAGACTCTGCTCTTGACCTAAATTCAATCCCAATGGGCTCAGGTAGTGAGTTCAGGGTTGACTCAGCCTTCCATCCTTTAGTAAATTTAGTAGCCAGCTCATCTGGGGGAGATGATGTATAGCCAACATAATTAGTTCCAAACCACCCAGAGAGTGCTTTAAAGGCTATGGGGCAGTACATAAGCAACACACTATGCTTTATCCGACAGTGGTACTATTTAATTAAAAAACTAATGGAAAGCTTCCTACCCCTTCCGCCCTTTCTTTTGTCCTGGGGAAGCCCTTGGGAGCCTCCAAACAGGAGGGTGAGCCTTAAACAGTCAGATGTCAACATCAAATCACTCTCTTGCAGGCATCCTTTAGTCTCGAGAGACGATGGTATCGTGCTCTGAATGGAGGACTTGGAACAGCATTTAGTGTGGCTGAGGAGGCCTATTCAAGAGTGACCATCCCTTCCACATTGAAGACAAGTCCAAGCTGTCCCCTGTCCAGCTCCCTGACTTTGCTTGTTTCGGGACTGCCTCTTTGCCTCGGTCTGCTGGACAAGAGTCTCTTCAAATTGGGAGAGGCCATGATGCAACGCCTGCCTCCAGGCTGAACGCTCAGAGGTCAAAGTTTCCCATCTGTTGAGGTCCATTCCTAAGGCCTTCAGATCCCGCTTGCAGATCTCCTTGTATCTCAGCTGTGGTCTCCCTCTGGGGCGATTTCCCTGCACTAATTCTCCATACAGGAGATCTTTTGGAATATGACCGTCAGCCATTCTCACAACACGATTATAACTTCCAGCACAGACAATGGCTGGGAATTGTAGTCCACAAAAGGAAGTTTTAGAAACTCTCCTTCAGAGCTTCAGCTGCCCACTGGGGATTCGACGAGGGAACCAATCTACATTTAACTCTCAGGTCAGCTGGGAAATGGTGAGAGTTGTGCGCCCCCAAAAAGCTCTAAACTTTGTATGTATTTTGACACATTCTTGGCCTTAGAAGAGTTGTGTGGGCTGAAAATCTTTGAAATGAATGCTTCATACATAAAGATATTAGCCAGCCAAATTATCTAAAGGCTATTCCCCACATTATATCTGAGCAAGATCCTGGACGATGCTTGAGATCCAGATGCAGGAATCCCAGCTCAGAGGACAGAAGGCATCTTCTCTGTTTTTTGAGGCTCAGGAACCCAGTCAAAGAACCATCTGTTTCTTCTCGGTCATGTAAGGATTCTGGTTGATCAGCCCCTCCCAGTGACGCATAAGGAAGACCTGGGGCAATTTCAGTCCAGCTGACAGTAAACCACCATTAACCCAGCTGTGTGGGAAATTCCCCTGCTGTCGTGACCTTAAGATTACCCAGAAAGCTGGCATCGTTCCCAAAGCTGTAAGTTTCCAGAAAACCAAAGGTTGGCTACTGCCAGCAACTGCAGGCCTCAACATTTCTCCTTACACATGAACCCCGAGATGTATTTTCATCCATATGTTGTCGTTTAGTCATATCCGACTCTTCGTGACCCCACGGACCAGAGCACTCCAGGCCCTCCTGTCTTCCACTGCCTCCAGGAGTTGGGTCAAAGTCATGTTGATCACTTCGGGGACACCATCCAGCCATCTCGTCCTCTGTCGTCCCCTTCTCCTCCTCTTGCCTTCACACTTTCCCAACATCAGGGTCTCTTCCAGGGAGTCTTCTCTTCTCATGAGATGGCCAAAGTATTGGAGCCTCAGCTTCAGAATCTGTCCTTCCAGTGAGCACTCAGGGTTGATTTCCTTCACAATGTTTCATCCATATTTAATGTATTTACCTGATTTTAAAGATTTTTATGGCGGTGTCAGTTTAGTTGATTTCATGGTGTTTTTAGTTAAATTTGGATTTACCTGTTTTTATTCTTTTAAGAAATTTTGCAATCTGCCTTGAGTGCTGTTGTTGTTTTTTAAGTGGAAATGGAAAGTTCAGGTGTCAATGTAATAAATAGAACAGAACAGAAGAGAAGAGAATAATCCAGGACCCAGGGAGTGGGGCTGGTTATTAAGGAGTGACGTGAGCAATTTCCTCAAGGAGATATCTTCTACAACCCATGGCTGCCACTGAAGAATCCCACAATTTTGACAGCTCTCAATGGCACACTCACTCCCCTTGCACACCCTTAAAGCCCTGTAAACCGGCAAAAAAGCAGACTGTCTCCCTCTCTCCCAGCAGGGAAGGGGAGACCAGAGAGATCTTTCCACCCAACACCAGGTGAATTCTGGCTGTGTGGTTCTCATGGTGAAGGCACCGTCACTTATTCCGGCCACGGAGCAGGTGGCAAAGGAGGGGGGTGGGGCAAGTGGTGCCGAAATGACCCCGCGGGTGCATAGCAGAACTTGCATTATTGAGGCATTAAAAACATTGAAGACAAAGAGCTAAATTGCAACTTTAGAGGGGGAAGAGATCTTTATTATGAAGCATCTTTACCTTGCAGAAGAAAAGCCAATTTAGAAGAGAACGCATAAAGTTCTGGATTCGGTCCCCAGATCAATATAGGAAAAGCTCAGGAAGTAAGTCGATTATATGAAGAAGACTTAAGTCACGTGTTGCAGGGGAATAATAAGTAAACTTGTGGAATCACCTAGGACCTGATTACACCTGCCAAACGAACTCCAGTCATATTGATTCTTTCCATACCTCTGTTGAACCCTACACATTTATTTTTGCAGTCATGCGGTGTTATAGACCAGCTGTAATATTCCCATCGGTTTTAATGATCTTGATTCATTTCTTCCTATATGAAATGTGATTGCCGGCTATGACTGCCAGCTACAACACGGAATCCGTTTAGTTTCTCAGGTGTTTCCTGGAGCAGGGCAGTCCCTACTTTAAATTTAAAAAAAAACCCAACTGACTGAAACCTTGATACAGCAGAAGGGGATTCCCATTTGGGAATGTTGGATCCATGGTGCCTACAACTCTGTAACGTAAAGTAATGCACTGCCCACCATGGTCCCTCCCCCACCCTACGTAAGCCTGTGCCACTTGGCTGAAACCTCAAAGCAGTCAATAGCACATGGAAGACAATCTCCATGGAGACTGTCCATGTAAAGCCGTTGACCTATGTTTACCAATCTATCGATATACCAGCCCCAAAATGTTTTAGAAAAAAAACTAATTGCAGGGTAGCTGCAGGGCAATGAGGGCCACCACCTTTCTCAAGGAAATAGGAAGGTTTTTTTTAACCCGGCGGCCATTTTGGAACCGCCAATCAGCTGTTGGGAAATCATTGTTATGCGAAAATCAGTAAGCGAAACAGCTTACCGATCATCGCAAAGCGATTTTTCCCATTAGAAACATTGCAATGTGATCGCAAAAATGATCGCAAAAAATTTGTCGCTATGCGGATTCATCGTTAAACGGGACACACATGCTATACTGGCAGGGAATAAACTGATACATTGTTGGTACAGTTTAAAACCACACTCTGAGCAAAGGGAAAACAAACTGGAAATAAACCACTGGCCAGGAAAATAAGGTGATCTTGGCCATGTGTCGTCTGAACGGAAATTTATGAAACAATCTTTAAAAAAATGGCAATCGGTAAGCGAAACAGCTTACCGATCATCACAAAGCGATTTTTTCCCATTAGAAACATCACAATGCGATCACAAAAAATAAACCACACTCTGGGCAAAGGGAAAACAAACTGGAAATAAACTGCTGGCCAGGAAAATGAGTTGATCTTGGCCATGTGTCGTGTGAACGGAGATTTATGAAACAATCCTTCAAAATGGCCAAAGAGGTATAACTGGGGCTCTTTTGGTGAGTGTGATCAGGCCTATACAAACCTATTTTAAAGATAGACTTTTGGACTACAGATCCCAAAATCTTCCCATGATCAAGTGAACTGGGGGGATTCTGTGATTTTTAGTGGGTTTGTTTGTTTGTTTTTTAAAAATGGCCAAAGAGGTATAACTGGGATTCTTTTGGCGAGTGCGATCAGGCCTATACAAACCTATTTTAAAGCTAGACCTTTGGACTACAGATCCCAGAATCTTCCCATGATCAAGTGAACTGGGGGATTCTGGGATTTGTAGTGGGTTTGTGTTTTGTTTTGTTTTGTTTTAAAATAAAAATTTCCTAAGCTTTCTGTCACTGTCTGGAAAGAGGTATAACTGGGATTCTTTTGGCGAGTGCGATCAGGCCTATACAAACCTATTTTAAAGCTAGACCTTTGGACTACAGATCCCAGAATCTTCCCATGATCAAGTGAACTGGGGGATTCTGGGATTTGTAGTGGGTTTGTGTTTTGTTTTGTTTTGTTTTAAAATAAAAATTTCCTAAGCTTTCTGTCACTGTCTGGAGAGTAGGAAGGGGCAATGCTTGCATTAGCTTTCCATATAAGCTAGGTCAATTCTTCAACATTCTGGAGACCGTAGGCTACTTACGTTGCTTAAAAACCTCAAGGGCTCTTTTTAGGGTGCTGAAACGAAAGAGGGAAAAGAAAAAAACACACATAAAGATGGAGACAACTTGGAAAAAAACCCATTGTTAAGCTCTGTTTTTGTGTCACTGAAAGGCAAAGAACAAGAACTTCCTCGTAGTAAAACTCACAGGAACTGTTTCAGCGCTCTGTGCTAACACAATCCTTCCCTTCAGGAGAGCACAGAAGTTCCCCAGTGAAGCGTGAAATCCTGAACTTGTCTTTTTTCTCCTTCGTCATGGACCTTCTCAACAGCTACCCTGTCCTCAGGCAGGTTGACACCTAAAGCTCACAAGTCAAAGGACAGCCCCACCCATATAAAAAAAACATACGAACTGGTTCAGGCACAACCCAGTGGGAAAAGTCTCCCAACCGTTCCTGTTTAGGTCAGGAACACCCTTCCCAGGTAAACGGCACCCACTGAACGGATCCATCCATCCCCCCCATTCTGCAACATATCAAATAAGGGTGTTTTTTCTTACTAGGAACATGAAGAGCGCTCACAAAACCTCTCACCCTCTCTTCGTTGATGAGTCTCGCCATGCCAAAACTCCCTACCAAAAAAACTTCCTCTCCTGCATTAATGAGAACTTGCCAGCTTCCTGTTTATGTCCCCGCAGCTTTTGTTTTTAAAACGGTGGTTTGGTTTTGTACAGGGAAGTGGCAAATTCGGAACAACTAAATGCCCCTTTCTGCTGAATCCTGCATGTAGGAATGACAAGACCCTGCAGAAGAATGATCACCATCCTGCACAGCTTGGTACTTCTTCCGGCGGGGAAGGGATGACTGTGAAACTTCTGAGAAATCCTGCAAAATTTTATCATTGGGTGGGAGGGAGGAGATACTGCACAGAGAAATCTCTGTATGAGGAAAAGTTTGACTCCCCACCCCAGCATCTTTCTGCAGGAGAGAGGCTGTGAGCATCACATGTCATGTTTCGCACACAGCATCCCTCCAAAACGCTCTGAAAAAGCCTTGCCCAACTTCCCTCCTGGCCTCTAGTGTGGACGTGTCCTTCTCACTGATAACCCCGGTGTGTCATGAAGGCTCACTATTGCCAGTGGCAACCGTTCATACAATGCTCTCTTTACAGGGACATCAGGAAACATGGCTCGACAGCTTTTCCCATGGCCACCCCCCTGCCGACGCCCAGTTTCCCATGTCCCCCGATAGTTCTGCAACCAAGTACCAAAACATGGCTCGACAGCTTTTCCCATGGCCGCCACCCCCAGCGACGCCCAGTTTCCTATGTCCCCCGATGGGTCTGCAACCAAGTACCATATTTTTCCATGTATAAGACTAAAATCTTTTGATTAAAAATTTAGGGTCATCTTATACACGGAAGCAAGCTGAGGAGAGAACAAAAACAAGTGGAGGGGAAAGCAGGGATTAAAGTTATCCTGCAGCGCTTTGATCCCTTTCCCCCTACACTTGCTAATCCTCACTTAGATTTCTTAATTTTGGATTAGAAAAGTGGGGTGTCTTATAAACAGAAAAATACAGTACATCAGGGATTGAAACACCTAGAGAAGCCGAGTGTAACTGCGAATGGATACAAGCACAATTCTATCTGTCTGGAGCAGCTGTAGGACATTTCCTTTTGCCCAACGCACACAAGATGGCTGCCTCAACCTTTGGAAAACGGCTGTCCCTTGGCACAATACGTGCAGACGTATGCAGACCACGTTCACTACCCCTGAACTCCAGGCAGCCTTGGCTCATGGTTCCCACTTAACCAGATTTCTGGGCATGAGAAAGCTTGATTTCTGGTTGGCTCAACATAAAGTAGTTTTGTAACCCAAAAAAAAAGGAGTGATTCAGCACAGCCTTCCTTCTGAGGAGTGGTTTTCCTGCAATTTTTATTCCACCTTCATTTTTCCTCCCTTTTCTTGCATTTTTAAATTGCACGCCAAAAAAACAGGGATGGGAAAAGTCTTGTTTGTGTTTTGGACTAAAACTCCCGTAATAATCCACCCAGCATGGCCATTGATCAACTCTGCCTGCAGTATTCTGGGAATGAAGGTTGAAAAAAAGGGATTGATTGATTGATTGATTGATTGACTGAATGAATGAATGAATCATGGTTCTAAGGAAACAAATGGACTTACTTCAACTCTGTCTGCCCGCAGGGCTTCTTCCTAGTTAGGTTAATGAGGTCTTTTCCATATCTTTCTTCAATGGAAGCTCTGTGGTGGCACAAGAGAGAGAGTTGGAGAAAAGAACATAGAAATGAAGAGGGAAGAAAAGGAGGATCCTGCCCAAAGGGGAGTCAAGGCTGTGAAGACCTCTGTACTGCTATGGAATAGAGATTTACTGCCTCCGGGCTCATGGGGTCTGAAGTATCCCAGATTTTCTTTTCTTAGGAAACTATGATGATGTAGACGTTGCTGAGTTGAGCTACAACACTTTCAGTAACTGGGAACCAGAAAGAGATTCTCCCCGCCTTCATCAGAACACATGCCTGTAGACATGTCTAGATGGGCGGCATATAAATAAATAAATAAACAAACAAACAAACAAACAAACAAACAAACAAACAAACAAACAAACAAACAAACAAATAAATAAATAAATAAATAAATAAATAAATAAAATGCCTGTGAGCTGTCCCTCTCATAACACTGCTGTTCTGGAGGGCGGCGTGGTCTGGAATGTGCAATTGAGATCCATTAGCTTTACAAAAGACTAGCTGGGAATAGGTGAAATGAATGGGGCTGAAACAAGGGACTGCATTTTACTTTAATATAAAGGGAGAGAGGTAGGATGGAAGACAATATTGCATCTTTCCCTGCCTGTACACCTTTTAACTGAATAAATTCAAGAGTCAGGTCAAACTAGACATTAGAAGGAACACTATTGTCTAATTTCACCCTCCACCGAGATTGTTTTGAGAGGGGAGGAACAGAGGTTCCAGAAGAAAGTGCAAAAACTGAGATGATGTTTCACAACCAGCAAAAACAAAAAATTGTTCTTTTCAAGCACATTTTTCAAGCACAAAACCTGCCTCGAACGAGACAAGTAACATTGATCTCAGGTTGGCTTAGTACCAGGAGCCCCATTAAATAATGGAAAAGATGACATACGAAGCCCACCAACGACAGGCTACACTTCCTTCCTATACTTCTTTCCCCGTTCATTATACTTTGGGTGTCATGATCTGTTCCTTTCATTTCACATCCTCCCCGCCACCCTGCCTTTCTACTAGAATCTGCTTACGGCTGCTAATTTTGAAAACAGCAAAAAAGGGGCCAATGGCTGAGCAACGGAAGACATGCTTTGTAAGCAGATAGTTACAGATCTTCCTTGCCCTCTCTCATTCAAACAATCACTTAGGTGTTTGAAATGAATTATCAGGCGATGTGCTATGCTAAACAGATAGGATGGAGCTCAAAGTTCTCTCTCTCTTTACTATAAAGGAAGCCTCTCTTAGCCCCAATCCAAGTCAGGATCAATATGGGTGGGGGAGGGAGGTGTCACCTAGAGATGGGCATGAACCTCGGTTCGGAGGTTCGTGCTTCTACCTCCCTGGCTAAGACCCCACTTACCAGCTGTTCTACCAGTCCCTGGCGGGCGCCTCTCCCCGCCTCCCTGGTCTGAGTGGGTGATCCGCTGGGGAGGCGGGGCAGGGAAGCTCATGTTTCTGCTGGGGACTGGATAAACCAGGGGAGAGACGTGCACCCCAGCTAGTGAGTGGGGGATCCAGCCAGGGAGGCAGAGGAAGTGAGTACTGTATGTGGTATCTGTAATGCTGTGGGTTCAAACCAGCGGCAACCTCCGAAATGGGGTCCATGCGCTTGTGTGTAGTTTAAACCCATCTTTCACTTTTGCCCCGAAAGAAGCAGGAAAAAGAAATCCCATTGGCAACAATGGCATTTTATCTATTTTAAAATCTGTGTGGGACATGCACGGATTTATCTATTTTAAAATCTGTGTGGGACATGTACAGACGTGGTGGCGCTGCGGGTCAAACCACAGAAGCCTCTGTGCTGCAAGGTCAGAAGACCAGCAGTCGTAAGATTGAATCCACGTGACCAAGTGAGCTCCCGTCGCGTGTCCCAGCTCCTGCCAACCTAGCAGTTCAAAAGCATGTAAAAATGTGAGTCAATAAATAGGTACCACCACGGTGGGAAGGGAACAGCATTCTGTGTCTAGTCACGCTGGCCATGTGACCACGGAAAACTGTCTACGGAAAAACGCTGGCTCTATGGCTTGGAGACGGGGATGAGCAGCGCCCCCTAGAGTCGGACACAACTGGACTAAATGTCAAGGGGAACCTTTACCTTTGGACATGCATGCATATTTTCAAGGGTTTTTTTTAAGTGATTTCTATGTGCACCCTATGTTTAACAAAGCACATCTGAGGCACTAAAGATCCAGTGATCCTTACACTGTTTTTTTCACACTAGATTAAGGGTTTTTTTTTAAATAAAACTATTTTCATACACTTTTTCAGTTTCGGAGCTATCAGGTCTCCTTCCACTAGTATTTGCTTTCTACTGCCAGTTTCATCCTTGTGCTCTTATTAACTGATTTAAGAGTTTTATGTTTGGATGCGTCTGTGTATTTTAATTATTCGTGATGTTCATTTTATAGGTGAATCACCCAAAGAACCTTGTAAAACTACTGCAATGCATAAACGAATCTAGACTGTGAGGAAAGCTTTGGATATGGACAAGGACAGCTGAGAATCAAACAAAACTCCTGTCATGGGATCAATGGTATTTAATCAATAATCACATGGGTCATACTAGGTGTTTTCAGGGCACCGGTAGAAGTCCGATATGAAATTTAAATTCGGTTGAAACTGGGAGTGGATTAAAAAATCTCCTCCTCAGCCAAAAATCCTGATTTCCAACAAGTCTAGGAAAACGACACATACCTTTCCTTCAAAAAATCTTCAAATTCCTTGCAGTTCTTCCGGCCATCGTTCAGGTGCTGGATGATATTGTTGTACCCAGCTGTGCTGACCAAATCTGTAGACTTAGCAAAGAAAACCAAAAATGCATTTTAGATACGGACCATCCTTCAGAGTGTGCATCGATAGGGTTATCCTGTGTCCAGCTTGTGCCCCAAGACTCAGATTTCAGAGTTTCTAAATCATCATTGTGTACCGTCAAGTCAACTCTGACTTAGGGTGACCCTTTTCAGTGTTTTCTAGGTAGAAAGAACTCAAACGTGGTTTACCATTCCCCTCCTCTAGGGGGAGCCCTGGGACTGTGCAGCTGGCCCAAGGCCACCCAGGCTGGCTCTTCTCCCTGGAGGCACAGTGAGGAATCGAACTCCCAACCTCTGGCTCCATAGCCGGAGACTTAACCATTGACCTATCCAGCCAGCTACCTAGTAACAATGGGTCACACTTTGTTTTGAAGCTATGGGGACAAGCTCTCTGCATACACTGGGATATATAAAAAAATAGGTAGGGAAATAGAATGGTTTACAGATAGCTATGCTGTGATCCTCCGTTTTCCTTCTCCAAAGTGGGTCAAATGAGGGGTGATCTCCCAGGCTTGTGGAGGATCTGACCAGACAAGGACTGCAAAACACTTGGAGAGGTCAAAACCATGAAGAAGAAAAGATGGAACAGATTTACGCTCCCACTGTGTAGGCTAAAAAAAAATTCCAGCGTCTAGCGTTGTGTATTTGGAATTGATCTCAGTTATTTGTCCTGGGAAAGAACAGCTGATAGGCTGGCAATAACATTCTTCTGGTGTGTTTTGGTGGGAAGCAGAAGAGGCCCTTCCAAACTTCCCATCATCTCCTAGAAGTAGGTGGCCAGATCTTAAGGCACCAGATAACATCTCTGGGAAGGACTGTGCTTCTCCAGGTCTCCAGCTAGGAGGCAAATTTCAGGGAAAACATACCTTGGAGGGAGACAAAAGCTGGATTTTTTGTATCTTGAGCTGGCACCAAGACTCATGGGTTAAAATCCTGTTGCGTAGCATAACGAGTCATAATTATAGTCGACTCATTGAATCATTGAGGATTGGGTGAGTCATCTCTCCCATAAGCTCCTCTAATTCAGTGGGCCAACTCTAAGGGAGACTTCCTACACTAAGCAACAGGATTTCAGCTATTGTGTTAACCTCAGTGGGCTCATAAATTGGTTCTGCTTGCTCGCTTCCCTCCCTCCCAACCTCTGCCTGCCCTGCCTCTGTGACATCACAAGGGCCAAGCCCCTCCTCTTAGGCCTGGCACTAAACTCTCAGGAAAGGGCATGCCACTATCAATCCAGGAGTAATGACTGTTTTTTAAAAAAATATATCAAAGCACAATACTCCCAGCACCTTTTAAAAACTCCAAATAAGTTCTTCCACAAAAGCAGAAGATTCACTCCATTTTCCCCCGGGGGGGGGCGATGCAGCCCCCTAATATAGGGTGGAAATATCTCCTCTTTCTTCTCCTACTAGACAAGGGGAGGAGGTAAGAGAAGTCTGTGGGTGCAGGAAGAAAGCAGGAAGTGCCAGAGCTTGGAAGTCATAGAATTGTAGAATAATGAAGGGGCCTCTAAGGAAATCCAGTCCAACCCCCTGCATAATGCAGGGGTCCAAATCAAAGCAATTATGACTGTGTTGAACCTTATCAAGTCTAACAAGCAATGGCTGTGCTTACTGGCACATTCTGGAAGGAGGTACCTTTACCAAAAGAGTAACGTTTCCACAATCTGGTTGGAATTCTTCTGAACAGAGGAAAAGAGTGAACAGTGGAAAATTCTACAGCAAAATGTGTTTCTTTGAAATCTTATGGGTATGGAGTCTCTTATGCAAAGCCTATACAGAATCATTTGCCACAAAAAAACATGTCTCTCTGAGATATGTACTGTATGTCTCCAGTGACTTCACTATAAGCAAAGGCACCCCTCGGCAAGTCCTTCTCGCTGCTTGGAAGTAGGATGCAGCAGCACTAACACCATGCTGGAAAAAATATATGCCGTATTTTTCTGTGTATAAGACGTCCCCATGTAGAAGACGCCCTCCAGTTTTCTAATCCAACATTAAGAAATCTAAGTGGGGCTTAGCAAGTGTAGGGGGGAAGGGAACAAAGCCCTGCAGGATTGCTTTGATCCCTGCTTTCCCCTCCACTTGTTTTTGTTCTCTCCTCAGCTTACTTCCGTATATAAGACGACCCTCAATTTTTGGTCTAAAGATTTTAGACAAAAGTATAGTCTTATACACAGAAAAAATTGTATTTTTTTTTTGAGACTGGCCATACTTCTAGTCTCCTATGGTCAGACCGTGCAGGATGGTGCTGTGTTCCCACTTGGCTTCTGTGATCATGTTCACTCTCCTTCATCTCCCTCTTTAAGGATTCCATTGAAGAATGCGGTCGAACAAAGCCTTCAAATAAAAACTTGTTTATTATTTAATATATTCTCAGTGGTGTGCCTATTTGGTTCATTTGCTTCAGGTTTCAACAACAGGTTATCACTTTGAACTTCCTTAAAATCAGACAACTCTTTGTTGCAAAAAAGCAGGGGAGAACTTGGCGCCTTTTGAACGCATTTGGACTCGATGCCCCACACTGGGGTCCTATGCTTTGAGGATTTTATTTCCGAGGCTGGTAAAATCCAACCCACATGCGGTTCCCGTATCTTCTGGCCCGGGTTTTGTCTCAGGCATGGTCTGAAGGGACTGGACGCCACGGGATCTCCCAGGGTTCGCGATTCATCTTCTCCACGCTCTCTGCTGCTCCTCTCTTCTAACCCAAGCTTGAGATTCTCTCCTATGTCTTCTCTCTTCCAGTAAGGGAGCTTTCTGTCTGTCTGTCTACTCCTTTTCTGCATACTCGCTTCTCCACGCTCTCTGCTGCTCCTCTCTTCCAACCCAAGCTTCAGATTCTCTCCTTTGTCTTCTCTCTTCCAATAAAGGAGCTTTCTGTCTGTCTGTCTATCTGTCTACTCCACTCCTTTTCTGCATACTCGTGGGGTACTCTGAACTCTACCCATTGGCCCGTCCACGGGTCCTCTTGTATGATTTCCACTAGATCCTGTTTTTCGGTCTCCCTCTCTTCTCTTCCCCAACATACTTTTTTCCTCCTCTTTTCCCAGTTAGCACCCCCTGTTGCCTCACTTTTTATCTGTAACGGCTTTAAATCCCTCTTCCATGAGTTTTGTCCCTTTTTCTCCTTCTCTCGAGATATGGACAGTACACCCTGTGGCGTCTCCTCACAGCTTCATTTTTGGTCAAATGGGGGGGTTGCCAACTTTCACCCAAAGAACAGCTCCTCCGCCTTTACCGGTAAGGTGCTTTGCCCATATTTTCACAGGTGCCGGTGTTGAAAAACGCTCCTGGGAAAAACCTCACCCAAGGGTTACTGCAGTTCAGGTGGCTGTTAGAAGCCAGAGTGGTTTGCTCTTTATGGTCAGCTGGCACACCTTAATGCCCACAATACAGCTTCACCATGCGAATGTCAAGCACGGTTCAGATGTGCTCAGCAATGCATATTTTTACTGCACATCATTTGAAGGAGTTCCATGAAATGAGTGGCCGATGGTTGTCCTGGAGAATTAGCCCTGTGGTTATTTTATTTTCAGATAGTTTTAGTGCAGGGCTCTTTAACAAGGTCTGCATTTGACTAAATTGCTTTAGGATGAGTTTGAGCATCAATGACCTTGAACAGATCTACCAGGAAGTGACATACCAACTCTCTCTCTCTCTCTCTCGTGTTTTTTAACTCTGTTGAATTTGGGGCCAAACCTTATCCAAAGAGTTTGGGAAAGCTATTTACTTCTTTTGGACCATAACTCCCAGAAGCTTTAGTGGCAAGGGGAGGTGAGAAATGATAACCCAAAACGGACTTTTAAAACTCTTTTTAAAAATAATTGCTATATTTTAATGTGAGCTTTCATGGACAAATCCACTTCCTCAGACACACGAGTGGGACTGCAAGTCAAATATTTGCAGTTATACGAGATCCCAAACCAGAGACTGTGTCCTAGGCACAAATAGTTGATAGTGTGGCATCTCACCCCTGGCAATGACTTTTAAATCCCCTGTTGATATTCATTTCCCGTCCCAGAAAGCATTGTTCTGTAAACAACGACATGGACTGGTAGCTTAATTAATTCCAGGCTACTGATAACAAAGAGGAGCAACATGGTAATAAGGGATATCACAATCCCTGATGGGGTTTGTGAGTTGGCACTCGTTATTTAGTAAGGTGATATAGCTGGGAATTACAGCAGATGCAACATTTTGTATTTGATAATGACCTAAGAACCCTTGACTAATATTCAGTCCATTGAGATGAGTTTTAAACCTATGTATATATTTTACCTCAGATGTCTCTCTCTGGATTCTTGTTCTGTAATTTTTCTTCTCCAAAACGGCACCTTTCAGATCTTATGTAGAGTGTCCAGGTAAATTTGAAAACAGCTTCTTTGTCTGATTTATGTTCCTTATCTGTTTTGCATACTGATTCTCCTGTGCAGAGAGGCACTGGCAAAGAACAGGATAGATAACATTGGCAGTGGAACAGGTAAAAGTACCTTTTATGTTGTGTGTGACATTGTTAGATCCTGTAATCGTGTTGCCAGAATAAATGTAGGGAAGAGCTGGCATCTGGATTTGTAGCAGGGTCTAGTCCACATCTTTGCGCCAGTGTTATGTGGTCCATTGTGTGTCAGTAATTTTAAAGCTGTTATCCTTATACAGGAGCTTCAAGGACTCAATAAGGAGATATGTTAAAACAAGAGAAAATTCCACTACCTTGCAATTCTATTGCAAAATACCTTTATGTTTTTGCAACAAAAGAGAATTTATCTCTTTCTTTTAAACCCATATTTACATGGGCTGCTCCAGCAAATGAAAAAACTTGACTAAGTAGTCCTGGTCATACCCGTTACTAATGCAAGTAATATGGGGGATCTGCAGCAAAATACTGCAATACAGAGTGTTCCTGCTCAGGTTTATAGCCAATCACGCGTTCTTTTAAGTCACTCCATTCAATTCTCTCTCCCTTATGGTTTTCCTTTAATTTTATTT